TACAACCCATAGGCCAAAATGAATTCATTGACGGTCTACTTGACATACCTCTGTGTCAGGTAAACCATGTTCGAAATTCTTTAGATCGCTTACTTGATTTGTGCCTCGTGTCAAATCCTGAAAGTGTTGTTCTTTCTAGAGCAACTCCACTTACGCTGCCTGAGGATCCATATCACCCTGCTTTCGAGGTGACTATCGACACTGGTATTACAGTTAAAAATAATGCTATAAAGCCAGCCAAGCGAATTCATTGTTTTCGCAAGGCTAACTTTCTGAGACTTAATCATCTTATATCTGGCAATGACTGGTCCGATCTCTATTCCTGCAATAATATGGAAGACGCCATTACAATTTTTTATTCGGCAATCAAACTGTTTTTTAACTCGTGTGTTTCGCTATATAACCCGTCAACATCAATAAACCACCTTGGTTTAGCAAAGAGTTGACACACCTTAGGAATTTAAAGTCCAGGCTTTATAAAAAATATAAAATTTCAGGTTGTCAGTCTGTTTTTGGAAAATACATAAGAGCTCGGTCAAACTTTACCGTGCTTAACGCTCAGTGTTACAAGAATTATTTAGTCCGTTGCAGGTCCCAGTTTTTACGGGATCCCAAACAGTTGTATAATTTTGTCAACACTAAGCGCAGATCATGTTCCTTTCCGCCTTCGCTTTCGTTTAAAAGGAGGACGGCTAACACTGATCAGGAAATAGCCGATCTGTTTGCCCAATACTTTCAAACAACTTACTCCACAGTGTCTCATTCAAGTGAGCAATATTTATACGCCATACCTAAGTCGAAGTAAATATTTCGTCCCTCTTTAAACGAAAGCTCCTTTCTTGTGGATCTTCAACGTGGTACACCAGTTTACTCCCCAGGTCCTGACGGGACCTGGGTGTGTTCTTAAACACTGTACTAATGCATTGTGTAAGCCCCTTCTCAAGCTGTTTACCCTATCCCTACAAACCTGTCAGTTTCCCCTTGTCTGGAAGGAGTAATTTGTTATTCCCCTTCATAAAAAGGGAAACAAGTCGGATGCTAGTAATTATAGAGGTATTTCTAAATTGTCAGCAATTCCAAAGCTTTTTGAGCGAGTAATAACTCCTCACTTGCAGCACCTTTGTGGATCAGCAATATCTCCATGTCAACACGGATTTATGAAGCGCAGGTCTACTACGACAAATCTTTTAGAGCTCACATCCTTCGTGATAGATGGCTTTAAAAATAATTTTTAAACTGATGTCATTTACACAGACTTCAGTAAAGCATTTGACTCTGTAAATCCCTTCCTATTGATTCGCAAACTTGACATGATGGGGTTTCCAGCAGATCTTTTAAGTTGGATCTTTAATTATCTCAGTGGCCGAACGCAAAGAGTCCTTTTCAAAAATTCCTTAAGTAGAGTTTCCTCTGGTGTACCACAAGGAAGCCATCTGGGACCATTACTCTTTACCTTGTTTATCAATGATCTTCCATCGATCATTGCGACGATGTAAAACTGTGTCTGCAGTATAATGATTACTCCCGTCACTTAAACCTTCAAGCAGACCTAAACAATTTTCAAAACTGGTGTCACGAAAATTTACTGAAATTAAACAGCTCTAAACGCAAGCTGATGACGTTTTATCGGGTCAATCCACAAAATGTCACCTATTCACTAATTGGTGGTGCCTTGGAAAGAATAGCGCTTGTTGACGATCTTGGCGTCCAATTGGACCCCAAACTTAAATTCTCTGCTCATATTTCGTACATGGTTAATAAAGCTAGGGGAATGCTTGGATTTATTAAACGATGGTCGAAGGAATTTGAGGATCCTTACGTTACCAAGACTTTATTTATATCGTTGGTCCGGCCAATCCTTGAGTATGGGGCACCCGTTTGGAGTCCTCAATACGGAGTAGATGCTGATCGCATAGAATCAGTGCAAAAAAACTTTTTAATTTTTGCCCTACGTCGCCTAAACTTTAGTTTTAAATCTTTGTAGATCTAATTACGACGTGCATGAGCCTTTCAGGGTACTTTGTTCGGACTATAATAGACTTTATTCTATAGTATCTTCTTCTGACTCTCTGGAGCTCCTAAAAAGATCAATACTAACATTTCTGGCACAAAATTAGATCGTTAAATTTAAAATTAAAATAAAATTTCTTTTTTAAAAATCGCGTCAAAATTTATCGCGAATCGTGCCGTACGATACACGGCGGTCGCCCCTCGGTCGGTTGGGCGGGATTGTGGGCCGTGGGACTACGCGCGAAAAAAAAGAAGCTTTTCTCCAGACGTTGCCGCTGGAGGGTGTTTTTTTTATCGTTGACAAGCATTGCTGCTGATTTCCAATTTTGCGCGCACCCTACGTCGCCAAGCATATAGATCCGAAAAGGGAAGTTCAGAAGAAGATCAGACCGAATCGGCCAACCAGGTATAGAGTGTAAAAAGTTAAAAATTAATCCGTGGCGTTTTATAAAATTGTGTTCGGCCAATCTTTCAACTTTTTGCATTCGTGTGAAAAAATCGGTAGATAGTGAGCATTCTAATTCTATCTAATGTATCTATCTAATTCTATTTATATACCCATATATTCTATATATTGTCATAAATATTGAATTAATGGTAAATCGCTTTGGACCTGTAAAATGCAATATTCGTCGTTGACCCAATGAGTGCAAATTAATTCCCCCAATTTTGTCGTAGCACCAATTTAGGGTTGAAAATTAAGGCCGAAAAAAGTGAATTAAATATTGCATTCATTTAACCTATTGTGCAAAGAAAATCGCGGGAAAAAGTTGTGCCCGCTTTTTCATTCCCAAATTTGCTGCGCTTTTGCGCATCCCGCTTATATATTCGTCGCCCTTAGATATCGATCGGTGCATCATTTTCCGCTAGTGTCAGCATTTACCAAAGAGTGAGCCGTCAGTTAAATACATACATACACACACGCACTCTCACCCACGCTGCGCTGCCAGTGTTTTCGATCTCTATATCGCCCTTTTCGTTTTCGGATGCTGAAGCAGAGCAAGCGTTGTTGTTGTGTTATCGATGCGTTTTCGGTGTTTGCGCTAAGCGGGTGCTCCTCTACAATTTGTGCGGGCGGTTTTTTAGTGACGTAAGGAACTAATAAATTAATTACTACTATACTTAACGACTTCTTTCAAATTATTCGACAAATCCCTTACAGTGCATACATTCGGCATATACCACTCCTTTTTTTATTATTTAAATAAAATTAATTATTCAGCCTTTCGATTCCAAACAAATTTAATTAAATACTAAATAACAGTGAGCAACAAGGAAATCGAAGCGCTTAAAAATAAACGAGACGGAATTATGAGAAGTATATCCCGAACTCAACAATACTGGAAGAGGGTCGATTATCATTAAATCCAGTCCAATTAGAATGTCCTTTCGAAATTTTAAGTTCGCACATAGAAAATGCTTCGACAATTCGAAATTAAATTGAAGCGAGAAACACAAACGATTTGTCCCGTGAAGATTTGGAAGAGACCGCAGTAATGGCGAAGACTCTTGATTTTGATGATAAATAAAATCAGGCGTGTGATCGTCGATGAAACCGCTCCACCGGCAAGGCCGCTTGCCGAGCGTTTCTCTTCCAACATTTAGCGGAAAGCACTCCAAATTGTATAAGCCTTTTCAAAACATATGTTGACAAAGATGACACTCTGCATGATATTGAAAAATTCAACCATTTAATATCGTGTCTGGCTGGAGACTGCCGCCAATTATCCCAAGGCCCTAGCTAGCCTGAAGCGGGTGTACGATAATGATTGTCTGATTTTCTTTGACAATATATCGACAGTTTTCAATCTGCCAAAAATGTCCCAGCCATCAGCTACAGCCTTGAGAATCCTGATCGACACAGTCAGAGCTCTTTGTGACTCTTTGCTGTCTATTGGGGATGACAAACGAATTACGAATGCCATCTTCATTCATTTAACAATGAACAAAATCGATGCAGGGACAAAGAGAAACTGGGAAGAACAGTTAGACTTTACTTCGGTTCCGCTTTGGAGCGAATGTGAGTCGGCTCTGGACAGGCGATACCAACACATGGTCGCCGAAGAGGCTTCCAAGCCGAAAAATGTTCAGCCAAGCCAGACTTTTCCGAAGAAGAGTGGAAATAAAAGTTTTCATTGATCGCTGCCAGGGACTACCCTTCCCTATGTGTGTTTTGCACATCAGCAGAGCATCAAGTAGGAAACTACACTTCTTTCGCAGCCCTAACTGTACAGCAGAGGTTTGAGTTTGCCAAAAAAGTGCCCTAATGCATCAACTGCCTTTGCAAGGGTCACACAGATTCCATCCACTTCACATGTTTTGCATGCGACTGCATTGGATAGAATCATTCTTGCCACAACTATCGTGAGCGTATTATCAAAAAGTGGAGAATTTTTGGTGGCTCGAGCGTTGCTTGACTCTGGTTCACAAATAAATTTTGTGCCCCGGGCGCCAAATCTAAGGGGCGAAAAATCGTATTTGAATTACACTGTATGTTTCGAAAATTCATGTTCATGTAACAAAATAATTATAACAAGAAGAAAGCTAGCTTCGGCAAGCCGTGCTTATATACCCTTGTAGTCATCAAATATGTCGATAAAAATGCATAAAGACTAAACACCATCGAAGCTATGATGATTTTTCTATAAATTGTCCAAATTGTCGACTATTGTTTTCGTATTTCAAGAGTTGATAGAAAACTCTATATTCCAAAACCATTCTGATGAAAAACGACGATGTTTAGTTTAGTTTCCATAGATTTCCATAGATTTTTCGATCTTTCCTATGGCAGCTATATTTTGAAAATCATGCTCGTGAGATTAAGAACAACGACGTTTTAATTTTTTTTCCATTATTTTGTAAACATTGTATTATTTTAAATACTAAGTATGGCAAATATCGATAGATATAAGAATAGTATAAGAAGAGTAATCGATGTATAAGAAGAGTGATCGAGAATAAGGTCACTTAATAAAGAACAGAGAAGCGAACAAGACGTGAATTTGAATTTTTAAAAGAAAAAGACTAAAAAGGTGTTTACAAAATCAGGTGTGGGGTATAGCCCAAGAAAGATAGTGAAGAGGAACTGCAATGAAATATAGTGATATCCTGAAGAAATCTAAGCCTGAATTGATTAACATTTTGAAGAAAAACGGCGTGTGTTTCGGCGAAGACGCAACGATCGGACGGCTGCGCAGCGCTGTAAAAATTATAATAAATGAAAAATCCGTAGCGACAAACATAGAGAAAGACCTAGTGGAGCTAAATAATACGATGAAACCTGATAGTTTAATAATTGTAACCGGCGACGGCGAGAGTGCACCCGTGGAAAGTGATGAAGTAAAGAACGTAATTCCTGAGAATGCCATTTCTGAAACCGGCGCCAACGAGGATGTCCGTGAGGAAGAGAGAGATGAATATAGTGTGGCATCGGGCGACAGTCTGGCGCAAAGTTCCGGCGAACTTTATAAAGATGATGAAATTACCGAGAATGGCCTTCGGAACAAGCAGATGCAAGCAATTTCGCGAGAAGCAGAGTGTGTGCAGTTGGAAATTCAACACTTAAAAAAATTGTAGAACCTATATATAGCTCGCAAGCGTGTTGCCGAGCTTGAAGCGGAAGTGCAGCTGCTGGAAGGAGGATCAAAAAGAGCAAGTAAAAGTGATGACATCGATATCAAAGATGTTGAAGCCTTGGTGAATTGCTTTTCAGGAGACGATGGCTACCCAATACAACATCGGATAAACAACTTTGAGCACATTATGAATAAATTCGATGTACCAGATCAACGCCGGTGGATGTTTGCTAAACGTATGTTGTGTGGATCAGCCAAAATTCAGATGATCCATATTAACCCGATGACATGGACTGCCCTGCGCAGGGAGCTGCTAACGGTCTTTGAAAAGAAAATGACGGCGTGGGACGTAATCAAACAATTGGAAGCTAAAAATAAATCTCCAAATGAAAGCGCACTCCAGTATTATTACATCGCTATGTGTGGCATCTCCAAGCAAGCAATTTTGGCAGACTCTGACGTCATTCGCGCAATTGTAAGTGGGCTTCAAGACAAGACCGGAGCTGCTACTGCCTTAGCCTTTTGCCTTGGGCGAATTGCGTAAAAAGATCACCATCCACGATAAAATAAAGACTCCAGATCAGCTTATAACCCGTCGGGACTCCGACACCAGCAAAGTGAAGATGACCAATACGGCAATCCCTCAGCAAGGACCTATGGCAGCGCGGTGTTTCAATTGCAGAAAAATGGGGCATTTGATGAACGAGTGCAGACGCCTAAAAAGACCGGAAGGCGCCTGTTTCAACTGCTATAGCCAGGACCACAAGTATCAGGACTGCCCAAAGAAGAGAGCTGTTACTACGGTAGCTGCCGTGCAAGATGACGAACTGGAGGACACCGAGGACCTAGCGGCTGTTCAATCTGTTAAGTTATGACTTTTTGAGGGTGAAGAGAGATGTATTACTGTTTTAAGTTTGTTTGACACAGGAAGTCCAGTTAGCTTTATTCAAAAATCATTAATTCCAAATAATGTTAAATTTAAATCGCATAGAAGCAAATACCACGGTATAGGTGGGCAACAAATATTAATTTTTGGAGAAATTAAATGCTGTATATATTTTCATGATAAAGCTTATAAAATTGCATTTTTAGTTGTAGAAGATACATTATTACCACTGCCAACTCTATTGGGCCTAGATTCATTAAAAATCATGGACGTCCAATTAATACATAAAAAAATGGTAAAAAAAATTTTTAAGTTAAACCGTTTTATGTAAAACATGTACTAAATGTACTAAAAGCCTAAAAATAATATAAAATAGATACAGACGTGGGAAATTTAAACATATGCTTAGACTAGACTAAAATAAAACCGTGGGGCAAACAAACACTTTAATCAACGATTGTACACAATTGACTTGCCCCACGGTTTTATTTTTGTCTAGTCTAAGCATATGTTTAAATTTCCCACGTCTGTATCTATTTTATATTATTTTTTAGGCTTTTAGTACATTTAGTACATGTTTTACATAAAACGGTTTAACTTAAAAATTTTTTTTACCATTTTTTATTTTCTAGTTTTTAGTTTTTATTTCGCATTTTTATTTATATTTTTTTTTTACCATTTTGTTCCCACGAGTAATAGTCATTTAAACGGTCGACGCCCCCAGCGATCCAATAATTTGTACATTTATCTTAAACATTGCAATGTATGTTTAACATAAAACCTTTTAAATTTAAAAGTTTTTTTTTAACAAATTTGATTAAGTTTTTATTAGTTTTTAATTCGCATTCTGTTTAATTCATTTAGTGCTTCATTATTGCATGGTTTCTTGCCCGTTAGTTTGTTACAGTCCAACTTCTCTATACGTAGTCCCTGCAAAGATCTTACTCTACTAAGAGCCACGTAAGCTTGACCTTCTTCAAACAGTTTCGCACCTAAGTATACAACTGCGTGATCCACAGTGCTGCCCTGCATTTTATGTATTGTAGAAGCCCATGATAGTATTAAAGGCAACACTCTTCTCTCAGCCGTCCTGTAATTGTACTTAGCTGGAAACTGTATAGCTTTCAGGTGTATAAGATGCACTTCGACTTTTTCGAAATCAATTCGGACGGAAGGTACATCTTTTGCATACATCTGAGTTCGACGAAATTGAGGCCAAACGATTTTGTTGATGTAGCCTATAGCGCCATTAACCAATCCCTTCGAAACGTCAAAATTGGACCGTAGCATGACTTTTGCCCCACAAATATTTCCAGTTCTGCTGGTAAACCTCCAGTTTTGTTTCTATCAACTTCACTTTCTTTAGTTCGTTTTGATTTATAAAATAATAAATCTAAACCATCCTCAAACCACCTGGAATACACACAAAAAATTGCATCAAAATCGGCCCAGGCGTTGTTGAGTTATGCGCTTACCAACACATTTTGCGATTCATTTTTATATATAAGATTTAGCTTACCCCGTTTGTTGTCAGATTGATCTGAATTAATCTGATGTGTTTGACAGTGACAATGATACCCATGTTGATGGGATTGATAAAACCTAAGTTATCCGCCATTTTGCAGAGGCCGCCATCTTGAATTTTAATTTTATATAGTACAATGTATTCTACTTGTTGAGACCTTTGATTTGATACCCATATTGATGGGATTGATAGAACCTACGTTATCCGCCATTTTGCGGCCGCCATCTTGGATTTACAATGTTATTGACATTACTATATTGTATTGTCATCGGAACTGAAGGTGTGTACCAAATTTCAGATCAATCTGACAACAGGAAGGTACTTAAATTTCAATTTCTAATTTTGACCCTAGTGTGACCTAAATAAAACAGTTTAAAAAACGAATAAATGCTGAATATAAATTTTCAAATAAAATAAAAAATAATTACAATAATAACTCATTTTGTGCATCTCTTTTCACCAGTAAACATATAACCAATTATAATAAGGATAGTAATTTAAGTAATCAGAATAATCAACAAGTAAACCAAAGAAATATCCAAAATAATCAACTAGAATTAGAAAATTTTTTTAGTAAATACTTAGCATATACGGAAGAAAATGTAGACGAGTTAATTAGCATAGGGTAAAATAGCCGAAGAAAAATGTAGGAAAGTAGTAAAAACACATTATTTAAGCAAAAATGTCGATTATAAGAAAGTACCTATTCACCAGATGACCATTAGGGTTACAGATACAACACCATTCCATTGTTCACCTAGGCGTCTGTCATATTATGAAAAGGAGAAAGTAGCGGAAATAATTGATGATCTTCTTGAGAAAAATATAATTACGAATAGTAAATCTCCTTATGCGTCTCCCATAGTTTTGGTTAAAAAGAAATCGGGCGAGACTAGAATGTGCGTAGATTATAGAGGATTGAATAAGCGAATAGTTAAAGATAATTTCCCATTACCGTTGATTGAAGATTCTTTAGAATACCTGGAAGGCAAGATATGTTTCTCAATAATAGATTTCAAGAGTGGTTTCCACCAGATAGGTGTAGATTCACAAAGTATTCCGTATACCTCATTTGTAACTCCTCAGGGACAATATGAGTATTTAAAAATGCCATTTGGTTTAAAAAACGGATCAGTCATTTTTCAAAGATTTATTACAGAAGTATTAATGGACTTTATTCAGAACAAGCTTATAGTAGTGTATATGGATGACATAGTGATAGCAACTAAAACCGTAGAGGAACATTTAGAGATCTTGAAGAAGTTATTAAATCGTATTAGTGAAAACAATTACAATAACCTAAAAAAATGCAACTTTTTAAAACCTGAATGTGAATTCCTTGGCTATAAAGTCAACCGTAGTGGAATAACACCTAGTGAAGCGCACCTTGATGCATTAAAAAATTTCCCTATACCACAAAACTTGAAAACCCTTCATTCATGCTTAGGATTTTTCTCATATTTTAGGCGTTTTGTGTTATCCTTTGCAAAAATAGCGAAACCTCTTACGGATTTATTAAAGCTAGGTGGCCCATTCCCCTTAAATGAAGAACAATTAAGAGCGTTTAACTTGTTAAAGACCATTTTATCAAATCCAACAGTATTGGCCATCTTTAATCCTAAACGTGAGACTGAACTGCATACAGATGCAAGCTCACATGGCTTTGGTGCCGTTCTCATGCAGAGACAAGATGATAGCAAGATGCATCCAGTATTATTCTATTCGGGGAAAACTAATGCAGCTGAAGCTAGGTATTATAGCTTCGAATTGGAAACCCTAGCGATTATTAATGCACTACGTCGATTTAAAGTCTATTTGGAGCATAGGCATTTTAAGATTGTGACAGATTGCAATTCGTTAGTGCAGACATTGAGCAGGAAAGCCATAAACCCTAAGATAGCGAGATGGTCATTGGAATTGGAAAACTATGATTATTCAATAGTGCACAAACCTGGTGTTAATATGCCTCATGTAGACGCCTTGAGTAGACAAGTTCAACTATTAGATACACTTAAGGAAAGAAATGATGATGCCATAGAGCCCCTAGCGAAATCTGTAGAGAATAGTGAGTATATTGATGATAATGTAGTGAAATCCATAGAAAATAGAGACAGTGTAAATAAAGTTAATGAAAATAGGAATAACCGTAGGACTGTACCGAAATTTGTAGGGACTGGTCAGAACCTAGGGAATAAAGTAGGAAATGTAAAAAAACAATTAGCAGACACAAAACCTAGGAGAAAGACACAACCATTGGAAGTAAACAATGAGACCCAAGTAGAGATATTAGAAGACTACAATTTTTGCGTAGAGGATATTAAAGACAGCTGGGGTGGGGAGTCAAGTAAATTAGAATTTCGAGAAAAATCCATATTAGAGTTGATTAAAGTAGTGGGGGTGGTAGGAGTAACTCCTAGGGATGTTGACTTGATACTGCAAACTGAGCAGATGCGTGACCCTGAGATAGTTAAAATACGAACAGCCGTAGAAGAAGGAAACTGTACTTCGTTTGAATTACTAGATGGCGTTATTTATAAAAATAACAGTGATGAATCTTTATGTCTGTATGTCCCAAAATGCATGGAAGAACAAATAATTAGATTATCACATGAAAAATTAGGTCACCTAGCTGCTGAAAAATGTATGAATGATTTAAAGAAAAACTATTGGTTCCCAGCTATGAAAAGCAAAGTAACAAATTTTATAAGAAATTGTTTACCATGTATATTACACTCAGTACC